TTGCCTTCTCTATTTCTGAGGAGAGTGCACACCCCACCCAGAGAGGAGCTGCCTGCTATCATCTATCAATCAACTGCATAAAAGCAAAGAGCAGCCTCTCCATTTTGTGTCAGCAAACTTGAATTTTATTAAAGCGACCAGATGTTCCTTTGCAGCTTGGGCTAACAGCATTAGATCTCTTGGGATGCATCAACGGAGTATCTGGGAAGCTGGCATAGGCAGGAATGCCTGCCTAATTCTATCTGGTCTGTTGCTTTTCCAACTGAGCCTTAAGATCAGGTCATTGTGTCACTAGCAGTGCATTCTGGTGCAACAAGACTTTTCACAGTTATTTTTGCAACTTGCGGACTGATTTCCAAACTTCCTTAGTTTTCTATGTAATCTGTTATAATGGCACAACAATTTTTTTACTTTTTGAATGTTGTCTAGATATTCAACACTATTTAAGGGTATTTTTTGTACTGCTGAATCAGGAATGGCATCCGTTTCTCTCCATCAGGTCCAGGTTCCCTGTAAACTGGAATGGTGGGGCATTGATAAAGGTAAGTACAACGTAAATTGCTGTTGCGCTTCAAGCCATTGTTTCAAACTTTCAGGGCTTGACTTCCGTTTCTTGAAACTCGCTGGAATGGCTCAGCGGCAGGGAGAGCTCTCCTTCAGAGTCCAACAGTAGTCAGCCATCATAGCGTCCCAGCGACCCTGATACCTGGTCCTCCATCTCTTTTCATGTCCTGATGGAATCTCTCCCCTGCTCGTCACTCATTGAACGCAGGTTCTCAGGAAACTGTCATATGTGAAAACAGGTAGTGCATCTTGATGCTGCATGTTGCAAGCCCAGGTTTCTGAAAGGCAGTCAGCATGTTGTTGACAAGTCTGCATAGTTCATGGCCTTATTGTTGCCAGAAAGTTCTTCAGAGTTTCCCCAACTCTGATCTCTGATAGCTGACGGAATCTGAGGACCGTAAAGATGCCAGCCTTCAAAACTTCCTCCATGTCATCCGCCCTGGAAAAGCCTGGCACAGTAAGTGACAGTCACCATCCTTGTCCAAAGCCTTGTGGAACTGCTTGATTAAGGCCGGAGCTTGATAGTTCGCAGCGGGGTGGAAGACTATTCTGGTTCTCCTGTCCGACCCCGAGGTCGTGATGACGTTCCTTTTTTTGCAAAGGCACCAATTCCTCCCGCACGCCAGTCCTTCTTCGTGTAATGCTGAGCACGGTTCCCCACTATCCGATCCGAGCAGGCAAGCAGGCAAAGGAAGAAGTACATGGGCTCATGGAGGCTTGGGTCACTCTTGATGACATAGAGGATAGTGAAGTTTCCCAACAGAGTCAGGGTGTAGAGCACAAACAATGGGAAGGCCACCCAAGAGTTCTTTTCTTGCATCCCAGGGATGCCAATCAGGACAAAGGTTTGGTGGCTCACAAGACTCTCGTTGAATCTGGTGATGGAGGACATCATTCACCTAGTGCTTTTGGTGGAAAGATATTAAGGAATAAAAGTCAAATGGATATTAGAAATCTGGTATTATTTTACAGGTTTTATCCTAGTTTAGTTCAACATCAGACATTGTATTACAGCCTCAAAACCCATTCGAAAAAGAAATATTCCAACTCAGACATATTATTCCCTCTTCTAAGCCCATACAGTGTCAGTTTTATGATTTATTTGTTTGTTATTTACAGAGTTTTAATCCACACTTTTGCCAAAATCTGAAGTTCATTAGCAAGAGGGTTTCTGCTCTTAAGTTTCTATATATAATTATGTGAGAGAGAAATGCTTGGGGAGGGAAGCAGAAGAAACTATTCCACACGTAAAGCTACAGTTCTTGCAGTTACTACCTGCGGCAGCCTGTTGGAATGTCTACTCAGCCTCTCTTGTGGAGAACAGATGGGAGCTGGTCTTTCAGCAAATCAGTGGGACAACCCTGCTTTTCTTCTGCTCTATTCTGCAGCCTGGTGGAAGTTTAGCATCACTTGTGTAGCTCATGGATCCTAAAGCCAGTTTGATTGAGCTGAAAGGGAAACTGGGACACTCCCTCCACCACTGATTTGTGTAGTGGCTGTAGGTCTGAACTGGGAGTTGATAAATCTAAACATCCCCACTTCCGGGTTAGCGTGATCGGCTAATGGCGGATTCCCTCCGAGCTCCGGAGGGAATCTGCTCGACAGGGGCTGGGTCTTGCCGTGCCGGCGACACGGGGACCCTTAAAAACCACAGGCGCGGATGCCCGTGGACGTGGTGACTCGGTGGGCACCGTTAGCGCCCTCCCGACGTGCAAAAGAGCCTTTTTAAAGGCTACGGAACGGGTGACGGGGAGTGGGGTGGTGCTGTGAGTCCTCTGCTTCCCCTGCCGAGTGAAGCCGCATGCCATTTGTCGGAGAGCGCTGACTTCTTCCTTCTAAAATTCGGACTTAAAATCAAGAACAACAACCCGTGAGTAACTTGGAAACTGGATTTAAATTATTTCGTTTACGGATTTGGCACGAGCGGGGGAGGTGAAAAGAGGAAGTCCCGTCTCCCCCCCATTGTAAACAGTTTAAAGCAAGGATCTGCCAACTAAGGTTGTGAGAAGAGCTGTTGTTTTTTCTTCGTGACTGGACAAAAATTATTAATTCCACGGATTTAAAAGTCTAAGTTATTGTGCTGGAGGACAAGAGCTTACTTGTTTTGACCAAGTACCACTTTTCTCGAGACCGGGAGTAACCCGTGAAAAGAGCCTGTTGAGGATTTAGAGGAAACTTTTGACAGCTGTCAAATCAGCTGTCAAAGTCTGGAAAAACTGAAAGTTTTAGCTTTAAGCCGGTTATATTGCCACAAAGTACTGAAAGCAAAGAAAGATTGTTACAAATAAATTTTGACTTTTGGGTCGGAAGGGAAAGGAATATTAAGTAACCAGAATCCCTCTAGAGGGGATTCACAGACATTACAAGAATGGAAATAGGTCGGAAAATACGAGCTGATCTGCAAGAGCTTGTCTTTCTCATGGGAAAGTTGCGAAAGATGTGTGAGCAAGGCCATGTTTTGTCTACAAGTCCCACAAAACCGAAGTCAACAGAAAATATAACTACGGAGTTGGAAAAGGACTTGATGTTCAAAACACAGGCAGCTGGACAAGAAAAGAAATCAAAGATTGAAGAGGAGGAAAAGATACTTGCTGAACAGGAGGAGCGGAAAGGAGGGGTGGCCGAAATGCTACAGAAGACAAATGAGAGCCAGGGACCTGCCAAGACGACTTCAAGCTCGACCAAGGTGATTTCTATTTTTCTTACTATTAATTCCAATTCTCTGGATATCTAGATGGCATCATTTCTGGCACTACTTTCATGCACATGTGAATAAAACGTGAATTCCCTATCTAATCAATGTTTATTTCTCCAAATATCTATTCAATTCAGATTTTCTGCCATTTCACAAAAGGTTTTTGGAAGTCTTCCTTCTTTGGCAGAAATGTCAAAGATCCATGGAGCTCTAAAGCAAAGACTTAAAAATGAAACGGTCCGGGACCAGCTGGACTCTTGGTCTGTTTCTGCAGGGCTGTTCTGGGGTTCTTATGCTATCCATACTTAAACGATACAAGCTCTGTCATTTCACAATACTGTGAGAGATCTATCTGGAACCGATCAAAATGTTTATATCTCAACAGCGCTTTGCACATACCTGACTTTATGGCATGGTCCATGTGACACATTTTCCGCAGCAGCAAACACTAAGCCTGCCTTTGCTGTTCCAGGAGAGATTACCCCTGTGCTTTTTTATGGCATTGACAATTATGGAAGAAATGTTTCCCCTCTGGGAGTGAGGCTGTCTGAAAACTGCCAGAAAACTGCTGTGCCTCAGGGGGAGGAGATCTCTGAAAGCCTGGTGGCAATTACTCAGAAATTTCTAAAGCTCCTGGGCAAGGTCCTGGAGGTCAGCTCTGGGCCAGACATTCTGGAGATCTTGTGTGTGCTCCTCTCTTTCATAAGGCTAGACAAAGGAGATGTGCCCCAATGGGGGAGAAATTTGATTCTGTTTTGCATTCAAAAGTGAACCTATCCAATCCATACTTTCTGGAACAACACCTATGCCCTTCCTTACCAGCAACCCTTCATGCTGAGATATCACACCTCCTTGAAGATCTTGGGGAGCCTCACGTTTTAGACCTTATTACAAATGTTTGGCTAGTTTTAGAGAGCCAGTGTGGTGTAGCGGTTAAGAGCGGTAGTCTCGTAATCTGGGGAACCGGGTTCGCGTCTCCGCTCCTCCACATGCAGCTGCTGGGTGACCTTGGGCCAGTCACACTTCTCTGAAGTCTCTCAGCTCCACTCACCTCACAGAGTGTTTGTTGTGGGAGAGGAAGGGAAAGGAGAATGTTAGCTGCTTGGAGACTCCTGAAGGGGAGTGAAAGGCGGGATATCAATCCAAACTCTTCTTCTTCTTCTAGTTTTGTGGGGGTGGGAGGAAGAACAAAAGAGGGTGGAGTGAAGGAGGGCTGGCAAGGGAGCTGGCTTGAATGGAAGCCATCTATGCCATGAGAAATTGAGGGAAGATTGAACTGCTCAACCCAGGGGGGGGGGGTCTACCTCTAAATGGATGCGTTTAGAATAGAATAGATATTTATTACGGCCATAGGCCCATACAGATAAAAACAAGACATAAATAACAGCTTGTGCACGTGGGGAAAAAACAGCTGCTAAAACACCACTATAACAATAAAATACTGTAAGATGGAATGACATGCTGCGCCTTAATTAGCTTGTAGTGCACCTTGGCAGCGCTTTTGAGTAAGGACAGCGACCAGAAACCTAGCCACTTTCAGGGTCGTATGGATATCCTTATCCTGCAAGATTTGGGCAAGGTGGAATTTTGGTGGGGTACCCTCTAGCTTCTGTATGATTAATCCCAAAAAATTTGCCCGTGGCACATTGAACAAGGGGCAAGTGAAACATAATGTGCTGAAGCGACTCCGGCGTCTCCTTATCACATTCGCACATGGCGGAGGCTTGGCCCTTTGAGAATCTATGTCTCAGGACATTGGAGGGAAAAACGTTAAACCTCGCTTTGGTGAAGGCCAGCCTATGGGCCACATTCGAAAGGGAGGAGAGGTATGATGGAACGCAGTAAGTTAAAGTGATACCAATGTTCTGGGGCGAACAAACACCTCCCCCCAGCGTATAATTTCGCTGTAAATCGATGTCGTCCAGTCTTTGGCGGATCAGTCTTTGAGCAGTGATTTGATCTAGTTTTAGGGAATCTAAGGGAGAGATTCCATAACTCAGGAGTTTGGCATGAATTCTACTAGTCCAAAGGCTGGAGAATTCATCTCGCCATAAGCATTGGACAAGGTAATGGTCTGGTAATCTGTGCCACAATGATAACCAATAATTGAAGACTTGCTTCCACAGGCAAGTTTCTAAGGATGCGATCTTCAATTCTAATCGCATGGCTGCGTTGCTTACGCACAGGGGGAGCATTAGGAGCCGACGTAGGAATTGGTTTTGCAAAGTCTCAAGAGGAGTAAGATCTGTCATCACGGCCCAGAGCGGGGCAGCATAAGCTAGCACGGGAACCACTTTTGCCTTGAACACCTTTAGGGCCGAGGGAACATGCAAAGCTCCATCCGAAAAGAAAAATCGGAGGAGCGCATATGACAGAGTTTTGGCCTTGTTGAGTAGGTGTTGAATTTGTGCTTTCCACCCCAAATTGTATTGAAAAATAACTCCTAGGTATTGAAATTTTAGGACTTGCTCTATTTTTGCTCCACCAAGCTTCCATTCGTATAATCTCCGACTTCTGGCGAAAATCAGAATCTTAGATTTAGCATGGTTGATGGTTAATTGGTTGAGTTGACAATACGTGGCAAAGATCTTCAGAGCTCTGGTTAGTCCAACACATGTATAAGATAGAATTACCGCGTCATCCGCGTATAAAAGGAGTGGACAGCGGTAATCCGCTAGTCTAGGCGCATGTGTACTTGGAGATGAGTTGACTAGGGATGCTCGCATGTCGCTGATGAATAGATTGAATAGGCAGGGAGCCAATATACATCCTTGGCGCACTCCCTTGTTTATTGGTATCGAATTTGTGAGGTCGCCCGCAGGAGTAAGTCTCACTCTGGCAAGGGTACCTTCGTGGAGCTGACTTATAAGCCATAAGAGTCTTCTATCGATGCCCTGTTTCGCAAGTTTCTCCCAAAGAATATTTCTAGGAACACTGTCAAAGGCTGCCTTAAGGTCTAAGAAGGCAGCACACAGGTAGCCCCGGGGAGGGGAGGAGTACTTCCGTGCCAGATGGTAAAGAACTATCGCGTGATCAGTTGTAGAGCGTTTAATTCTGAACCCTGCTTGTTCGTGGCCAATCTGGTTAGTCTCATCTACCCATCGCAATAGTTTCGTCAGCAAAAAGCTGGCATAGATTTTCCCTATGATCGAAAGGAGGCTGATGTTACGGTAATTTTCCGGCTCCATTGGAGAACCTTTTTTATGAATTGGTACTATAATGGCCTCCTTCCATATTTTGGGGATGAGTCCAGAAGCGTTGATTGCGTCGAAGGTTTTGGCCAAGATGCCGGCCCACCATTTTGGGTGTAGTTTGATGGCTTCAGCAGGGATCAGGTCGGGCCCTGGGGCTTTGCCCGATTTCAGCTGGGCTATTAGCTTGGCTATTTCGTCAGGATCGGTGGGAGGCCAAATAGGTAGGTGGGAAAACAGATGCATCAGATGGTCGGAGGGAGCATCTGCCTGTGAGAAACATTTCTTCAGGAACAATTCCCATGTCGGTGCAGGGATGACTGCCCTTGGGTATTTCCTCGCCCTTCTGTTAATCAGCGACCAGAATTCCCTGGATCTGTGTGATTTTGAAGCAGTAATCAAGGCCTGCCAGCGATTTTGTTGCCACTCGCGTTTGGCAGTTTTCTGCGTGCGTTTGTAAACTTGCTTGGCTTGTGCATAACTAGCTGGCAGAGTAGATGCATCGGAGGTCTTATATGCATCATATATAGCGCGAAGGCGCTGTCTTGCTTGTCTGCACTGAGAATTATACCAGGGGGCACCGTAAGTATGCTCGTTTCGATTTAATATTTTGGGTGGTAACCTGAAGAAGGATGTAAGTTCAGTCGTATGATGGTGAAAGCGTTTCAACACTATGCTATACTCGTCTGAGGCAGAGCCTATGTTGGAATGAGGCCCGAGGATTTCTTTTTGAAAGAATTCCTGATACTTTTGAGCCTGGGTCTCCGACCATTTGATTCCTCTTACTTGGAGAGAGGATTTGTTGGTTACCATCTGGGTCGCATGTCTATGGGCCTCCGACTGCCAGTTCAGGGAAAGCTTGGCTACAAGGGGAAGATGATCACTAGATTGTACATTCTCGATCTTAAAGGTGGAAATACACTTAAGTAGATCACTGGAAACCAACAGGTAATCGAGGACGCTGTTTGATTTAACGCTCAGGTGAGTGAAATCCCCTGGAATATCAGGGAGGCATGTTCCATTTAGGGGGACCAGATTTAGACGGATGGCCATTTGATAGAGGAGTACTCCAGCCTCATTAGCTCGTTGGTCTTTAGAAGTTCTCCTCATGATATGTTCCAGCTCATAATTATTAAGGTTTGGGGTAACCCACCATTTGGTTTTGGTCAGCGAGTCCCAATTTGCTGCTGTGCGGGCATTAAAATCGCCACCTATTATGGCCGGGGTGTTAGGAAACTTAACATAGCATGAGAGCAAATGGTCTTCTAGCGAGCCCCATTTAGAGCCCAGTTCGGAGGAAGAACCCCCAGGTGGCAAGTAAACATTTGTAACTAGGAAGTGAGATCTTTTCCCCCGCAATCAGTCCGGTAAGGGCGTAAGGAGGCAAGGCCTGTACTAGAGTAAGTTTAGAGCGTAGGTTGAGGGAGATGCCTATTATTAGGCCCCCTTTAGGGCGGCCTCCTTTCAGGGAGGGGCAGGCAGGGAGTTCTAGAAGCTCAAAGCCATTTAGGGCAATTTTCTCTACTTCCCATGATTCTTGGAACAAGATGATATGAAACAGGTTAATATACTCCAAGAATTCTGGGTCAAGTTTTTTCCCCCTCCAGCCCGCAATGTTCCAGCTGAGGACTGATAGGGGGGAGTTCCTGTTGTGACCAATTCGCTGTCATTTCAGGGAAAGATGTGAGTCCTTTGGAGGCAAGGCAGACCCCACAAAAAAGTCAGTTATTTTACTTTGCATGGCAGGCACCTGCTGAGGGTACCTAGTCTTGAAGTTGGTAGTGAAGTATGCTGACTGAGGCGCCAAAACGGGTCTCCCGCTGGGTAACCCAAGGGCGGACACTTCAGTGGGAAACTCCACTGGATTTGCTGAGACTGCCCCACCGCGAGGTCTGAAGGTCGCCGATGAAACCATTTGGTTTATATGTCCGGCCGGGTCTTCAATCAAATCCGGGCCATTTTTTGATGTAGGTGGAGCACTCCCATGACCTGGTGCTGGCGAAGGTACAGGGGATGCTCGGCGTACTGGTACCGTTTGTATGTCGGGTCTATGCCGCTCAGGGGAATAAGAGGACTCCAGTTCCGGCATTGATGGATTAGATGGTAAGGAATTGTTTTGGTGGAAGGGACTCTGGGTTACACTCCTCAGCGGGGGACTCTTGGAGGGCGAGTCAAAATTTATCAAGAGTTGGGATGAGGGGCCAACTTGTGGGGCAAGACCTGGGTCTGCCAACCGTCGGTGGGTTTTGCCCACAAGTGGGGGAGGCATGGGTTTAGGAGCTGGGCTAAGGTATGGAAGACTTCCTGCTTCCTTAAAACACGACTCCGAAAAGCTGGCAGGGTTATCCTGAGAAGTGGGCAAGACTCTTCCGTTCTTCTGGACCTGTAAGAGCTGATGATTAAGTACTTCTAGTCTTCCAATTATTTCTTGTTGTTCTCTCGGTGGAAGGTCGCCAAAGGTGGCTAAAAGCTCTCTTTCCTCCGGCGGGGTCAGAGAATTGTTTGTGCCAGTGGGTTTCTTTAGGGCTCGTGGGGACGTAGGGTAAGTCCAGTTTCGGTGCGGATGGATATCCTCCGGGAGAGGAGGCTCGATGTCCTGGGGTACTCCCGACCTCTCCGACAGAGTCCGCTCCGTGCCGTGACCGGCAAGAAGGAGGGGGTGGATCATGCTATCCATAAAAACTCTTGTTGGGGTGATATCATACCTAGCCAAGAGTGGTTTCTGCCTGATGATAGCTGAAGGGATCCTTGGAGAGTAAAACGCAAGCATCACTTTCTGTTGCCTGAGGTGCTGGTTCAAGGGTAATACTGCAATGAGATCACATTGTGAGATTTCAATGTTTAGGAGATTGCTTAGATGCTTTTTAACCCCACTCAGAGTAAGCCACCTTGGTGACCCTGCCCCGATGTTTAGGCAGATTTTCTTAGGTTGTAGGGACAACGCTTGGTGTTTCAGTGCAGGATTGGGTTTATATTTAGGGATCACACTTCTTTTTTTGGTTGAAGGTAAGGACCTCTGGCACTTCAATTCCCCCGTATCTACAGTTGGTTTAAACTTTGGCCAGAGGTTATCAATTTTCTGTTCGAGGTTACATAGCTGGGAGGATAGCACATCAATCTTCTTAAATATGCAATTAAGGGTTCTGACCACAAGATGGAGATGTTCATGTTGTTCTTGTCTTGCGCAGTCCTCAGCTCCGGCGTCCTGCACCACCCTCAGTGGGACACACCCTCTTCCTCCAAGCTTGCCGGCCACAGTTTTAATCTGGGGTAAAAATAATTCCTCTGATGTTGACGTTGTTTCCGGAGACATTAGAGGGTAGAAACGGTTCTGAGTTTTCACCCTATAGCAGTGTTCAGTGGGGTCAGTCCGATTGCCAGACACGAGGGGGTCGGTTTTTAATTGTTTGGCTCTTGGGGAGGGCAGAGCCTCGTCACAATCCCTTAGGCGTTTGCCTTGGCCCATCGTTATGAGTCTTTTAAAATAACAGTGCTTAAAAGGTAATAAAAGGTGGAAGAAATAAAAATACAACTGGATGTGAGCTGGCGGAAACCGGTAAGTCGAAGGCTGCTTCCAAGGCTGCCGGAGAATACAATTATCTGCTCATTAAAGCTGATTTACGATGCAGGCTTTACAGTTATCAACAATGTAAACTCCTGGCATGGGCTCCAACACCCTGATACAATCTTCAGCAAAAACTTGAAAGGCTGGGAGCCACAACACAGATTATAGAGAGGATTCGAAATGAACTCCGGCAAATGCGTCTTACCTCATCGCCATCTTGACCGCGAAGTTTTGCAACAAAGTAGGGATGGGGGTGGACTTTGAGTAGTTCCACAATTTGGAGTGAACCTCCTCATTCGACATATGAAGGGCTGTGCTTGGATTGCAATGGGGACAGGCAAATTAGACTGTATGCCTAGAATCTGTACAAGCAGAGATTCCTCCAACTCATATTTGCTAATTTTTTATGATGTGGTCCAAGGAGCCCCCTGGTTCTTTCTCCCTTGCTTTCTAACAAAAATGGTTTCTAGATGCTTGCAGCACTTAGGATGCAAAAAGGTAAAGGACCCCTGGTTAAGTCCACTCAAATGGGGTTGCGGTGCTCATCTCGCTTTCAGGCCGAGGGAGCCGGCGTTTGTCTGCAAACAGCTTTCCGGGACATGTGGCCAGCATGACTAAACTGCTTCTGGCACAATGGGACACCATGACAGAAGCCAGAACGCACGGAAACGTCAATTACCTTCCCGTCGCAGCAGTACCTATTTATCTACTTGCACTTTTTGGCATGCTTTCAAACTGCTAGGTTGGCAGGAGCTGGGACAGAGCAATGGGAGCTCACCCCATCGCGGGGGAAACCCAACATGGTCACATTTGACTTCAGAAGAGGACATTTCCCCAAAATGAGGGAATTGGTGGTGAGAAAAAAGCAAGTTAAAAGGCAAAGTCAAGAGGGAGGTGTTTAAAAACACAATATTAGAAGCTCATCTGGAATGTGTACCATAGAGTGAAACTTTGCCTACTTTCAAAGCAAAGAACTTAACAGGTCACTTGAGGTCATATCAATATTTTACCAGCCTCAAATACCTGAGAGTATGAAACCGTCTTTCCTGCTGCTGCATCACCCGTCTCTCACCTGGATTCATTGAACAAGTGAAGCCCTCAAGGCACTGCTGTCAGAACATCTTTCTTATGTTTAGTCTAAATTTCATGCAATTTGAACTTTTTGGTTCTGGTCCTGCCCTCTAGAGCTGTAGAAGACAAATTTGCCCCATCACCTCTATTCAACCTGCACTTTGAACCTTGGAAGATGGCTATGTGATCTCTCAAACATTATGATAGTTCACATGACATTTCCTTATACCACATGGGTAGTTACTCCCAGTGGTATAACTATGGTGCAGGGGTCAGCAAACTATGGCCCGGGGGCTGGATGCAGCCCCCTAGGCTCATAAATCTGGCCCGTGGTCCCTGCCACCCGCTTTGTCAGTCCCTGCGCTCTGCGGATGCCTCACCGCACAGGGACTGACTTCCGCTATGCTGGCATGGCTTCTGGGCAGGTGGCAATGGTGGCACAGCTTTGGATTGGCCGCAGGAAGCTCCTGCAGCCAATTCAAAGCCTTGGCATATGGATTTGCATGCAGGGGAGGCGACAGCATGGAGCAGAGTGGAGGTGGCACTGCCGCTGCCAGGACCCGAGCAGGGCTTTCCCCATGGCAACAGTGCATGCTTGGCAAGGGCCTCTGGCTTTCCTTCGGCCTCCTCCTTCTCCTCCTCTGCCTCTGCCATTGCTGCTCCTGCTGCTGCTTCTCCTACTCCCCGACGCTGCTGCACCAGCCACCGCCCCTTTCTGCGAGGGTGGGATATGAGGAAGAAAGAGGCACCGCCATTACAGGTAACTGGGCTTGGGCCTCAGGCGAGGGGCTGCTCTCCGGTTCCCCACAGTGAAGAGGAGCATGCAAAGCGGAGGGGATGATTGCTGCAAGAAGATTTGTGATTGTGCAAAAAGATTTCTTTTTGGTAGTTCAAATAGCACATAGGCACTGCAATGTGGCATTGATCCTTTCCAACTCTCCATTAGTTTCTGGATGCCGGGCCAAGGCAAGACACAACTCCACTTTGAGAAGCTGCACAAGCTTCTTCCAGAACTGCAGGTGAACTGGGTTCCCCTATAAGACACAATCTGTAGTGGGAGACCGTTCAACTTGAATACATAATCTACAAAGAGCTGTGAAGTTTCTTGGGCTGTCTGAAGTCCCCTACAAGGCACGAAGTGTGCTGTCTTGGTGAACAGATGCAGAAACGACACAGGCTGAATGGGTTCTCCATAGGGAGAAATATTAACACTTTATCTTCCTCTTATGGCAGGATTCTCCTCTGGGAGAAATATCAACCCCTACTTCTTTTGAACTGCAATATGTTGCAGTCCTTTGCCAAATCTGCTGGGTCTTCACCCTGTACACAACAGGATTAAGATGCGGAGGGACTGCAAGAAAGATGTTGACCATCAGTATGTGAACAATGGGGGACAGATGTCTCCCAAATTGATGTACCAATGGGACATCGAGCATTGGGATGTAGAAAAGCAAGATGGCAGAAATGTGGGTGACACAGGTGTTCAGAGCCTTGAAACATTCTTCATGGGATGCAATGCTCAAAACTGCTTTGTAAGTTAAAGTGAACACCTTGAATTGGGTTTGATAGCAAATAGGCAAACACACAGTTCTGCGTGTGTTACTTTGCTATTAATGTGCTATACAAATGTTCCTACATGGGGCTAGTCATCTTTTTCGTCTATTTACCTAGGAAGGAAAATCAAGAAATACTTTCACTTCCTGGGACCAGATTAGAAGGCTTTCTACCCATCTAACCATCCAGTTACTGGCTGCTCTACATAACGTTAAAAGGGTGAGTTGGGCAATTAAAGACAGAAAGCATCCCTCAGACTGTCTCATAAGTAGAAATTGTTGCATATATTAATATTGTGCCGTCTGAAGCGACTGGAAGCAGAAGAACTGACTTCTTTGGAAATGAAGCATTGTCCAAGCATTGACAAACTTTTACTGGAAGAACTCTTCAAATCAAAACACAAGCATCAAATGATACATCACAAAACTATCCATACAATGTCTTCTGCTGTCCAGCACAGGCTCAGCATCATAGAAAGTATGATATAATCCAAGCAGAGCTATAAGTAACAGAATCCATTTCCCCGGTGCAGTTTTCCTGGAGAGTTCCATTTACATTCTTCGGTTCTCTGCCCCATTAAGAGAAGGGGACACCACCCTTTCAAGAAGATGAATTTGCAACTCAATACAGATATAGATATAAATATTATGGAGAAAGCCCTTTGTTTCATGGGGAAAAAACTTATCAGAATGAAAATTGACAAGATAATGCAATCCCAAATCTTTGTATGGAAATTTTTGTGTGTCTGTCTCTCTGTGTGCTTGTGTATACTGAGCAGAATTGTTTAGGACATTAAAAAAAATACACATGGAAAAAAGGATGAAAATCAGTTATTAATTGGATACAAAAGCAGCATGTGATGAGTCCATCTATTACTAAGAACAAAACAATTTTCTCTTTCCTTTGTCACAGAATTCTTCTTCGAAAGATATACAGTGGTATCTTGGGTTACATACACTTCAGGTTACATACGCTTTGGGTTACAGACTCCGCTAACCCAGAAATAGTACCTCAGGTTAAGAACTTTGCTTCAGGATGAGAACAGAAATCATGCACCGGTGGTGCAGTGGCAGCAGGAGGCCCCATTAGCTAAAGTGGTGCTTCAAGTTAAGAACAGTTTCAGGTTAAGAACGGACCTCCAGAATGAATTAAGTACTTAACCTGAGGTACCACTGTATCTTTTCTTTAATTGCAAAATGTTGCATATCCTTTGCCGAATCTGCTGGGTCTTCACACTGTACACAATGGGATTGAGAAGTGGTGGGACAGCAACAAATATGTTTGCCATCAGCATGTGGACAATGGGGGAAAGATGCTTCCCGTATCGATGTGCCACACTGATGCCAATCATTGGGATGTAGAAAATCAAGATGGCAGAAATGTGGGCCACACAGGTGTTGAGAGCTTTCAGACACTCTTTTCGAGAAGCAATGCTCAAAACTGTCTTCAGGATCAGAATATAAGATACAAGAATGATCAGAACATCTAGCATTACAGTACACATGACTATAATCAAGCCATATATGATGTTGACTCTTGTGTCTGCGCAGGCTAACTTCATGGCATCTTGGTGGAGACAGTAGGAGTGAGAAAGGACATTGGATCGGCAGAAAGGGAGCCGTTTAATGAGAAATGGGAATGGGAAGCAGACACAGGAACCTCGGGATAAGATAGCTATACCTATTTTTGCAATGACTGAATTTGGTAGAAGTGATTTGTATCTCAGTGGATCACGGATGGCAATCAAGCGGTCAAAAGCCATTGCCACAAGAATGCCAGACTCTATCGCTTGTAATGCATGGATAAAGAACATCTGGCTGATGCAAGCATTGAATGGGATTTCCCCAGAGTCAAACCAATAGACCCCCAGCATAGTTGGCATGGTGGACATGCACAGGGCCAGATCCGAGCAGGCAAGCATGCAAAGGAAGAAGTACATAGGCTCATGAAGGCTTTGGTCAGTCTTGATGACATAGAGGATCATGATGTTCCCAAGCAGAGTCAGGGCGTAGAGCACAAACAGTGGGAAGGCCACCCAAGAGTTCTTCTCCTGCATCGCAGGGATGCCAATCAGGACAAAGGTTTGGTGGCTCACAAGACTCTCATTGAATCTGGTGATGGAGGACATCATTCTACAAGAGCGTTTGGTGAAAGGACTTGGAGAAGTCCTAAAATTGATCTGTATATTAGAGATTCTGGCATTATTTCACAGATTTTGTAAAGGTTCTATTGTTATTCTAAGCAGGCACAAATTTCTTCAT